AAAAAATTGGAAAAATATTCATTTACAAAATTATTAAAAGTTTCTAAAGAATAATTATTAATTTAAAATCGGAATTTAAACACAGAATATAAAAGTAGACAAATATTTTTAGAAGAAGCTATTTAAAAAAACATAATAAATTTTATAAGCAGATTTAATTTAAAAAATAAAATAAAATTAAAAATATAATATATATATATATATATAAATATATATAAATAAATAAATATATAAATAAATAAATAAATAAATAAATATATAAATAAATATTAATCTATTCAATAAAATAATTATTAAAAAAATATTTTAATCTTAAAAAAATTTTTTTAAATTCACATACAACTTATAAAACGAAAATAAAAGGAAAAAAAAAATTTAAAATTAAAAAATACTTGTAATATCATCTTTTTTTATTTATTTTATTTATATTATTAAACAAAAATAAAAAAAAATAATAAAAAATTAATAAATAAAATAATTTAATATAATTATGTTATTAATAAAAAATTTAAAATATAAAATTACATATTAATTTGATATTTTATAAGAAGAAAACAGATAATTTTTAAAAATTATAAATATGAAAATTATAATATGTAAAAATAAATAAAAAAAATAGTTAATATAAAAATAAAAATATAAATTAAATAAAAAATGGAAAGGTAATATTTACAAAACTAAAATTATATTTAATAAAAAATAATATGTAAAATATGGATAATAAATTAAATAAAATAAAGTAAAAAAAAATTTAAAAAGAATTTTATAAAGAAATAAAGTTTTTTTTATACTTTAGAAAACATAAAATAAATAATTTTTAATAAATTTATATATGACAAAATAAAACATAATATATTTTTATTTTAATATTAAATTATTTTTATTTAATAAAAATAAGAATAAAAAAATAAATATAAATAATATTTAATAATAAAAAATTATTTTAAATTAATTTTATTAATAAATATAAAATAAAAAATTAAATTAAATTTAAATATTATTTAAATATAAATATAATAAAATATAAAAAATAAAATAATATATAAAAAAAAAAATATATAATAATAATAATAATATTATTATTATAATTTATATTATTATTATTATTATTATTTTTTTATTTATACATAAATTTTTTTTACTGATCATTTTTTTTTATTTACTAAAATTAATTTTTATTTAATTATTAATAATTGTTTATATTTTCTTAAATATTTTTAATTATATTTAATTTTATATTTTATTTAATATTAATTTAATTTTAATAATTTTATATATATTTTATTAAATATATATTAATATTTTTATTATATTATTAGATATATTTATACAAAGTTTTTTACTATTTATTACTTTTTAATTGTAATACAAAATTAATAAAAACTAAATCATATATTTTATATATAATATTTTATTTATTGTTTTTTTTTATTTCTTTTCTTGTTTTTTATTTTAATTTTGATAAAAATTAAATAATAGAACAATATATTTATATTTTTTTTTTATTTTAGTTTTTTAGAGTTTTAAATAAAATTAAGGAAAAATATATAATGCAATATTAA